AAAGATGCTTGATTGGGTTCCTCCTGGGAGGAGACGTAGGGGACGCCCAGTGAGAGGTTGGCGACAGGGGGTGTTAAATGAGATAAGAGATTGTCAACTCCCTGATGACCTGTGGGAAGACCGAGCTTTGTGGCGATTAGGCGTCGCACAGCGCCAAAGAGCGCTATAAAAGCGACTCATATATATATAATTGAATCTTCTCCTTGATTTTTTGCGAAAACGGTGCATCGTAGAAAGTTGGCGCAATTATAACTTTTGAACAGCTTCCTGAGGAGAATCGAAATACAAAAGTCAGAAGGCAATCGGTCGTGGTGCAGCTTCCCATAAGAGGTGTGCGGGGTCCTTTAAGGCGATTCATTTCAACCATTTAAATTTCATGTTTTTAAAAAACTTTGTTCGAAATTAGACTTCGGTCAAAAATTAAGATATTGATTTGCGATTTGCGCCAAAATTCTTAATTTTTATGCTCTTTCTAATGATGCATCACAAGATAGGGGTTACCTTTAGAAAAAAAAGTTGACAAAAATTTTGACCCCCCCTAGAAGGTGGTCCCCTTTAAGATAGAAACATTCCCAAAGTTTCGTTCCTCTATCTCTAACCGTTCCAAAGTTACAAGGGGGGGTACGGACTTTTGGGACACCCTGTATATCCTGTAACGTCCGACCGAGCCATGACGTCGGAGGCGGGATTGCGAGATAATCGGCGCTACAAGATAGATGCTGTAAACAGCGAGATGCTCGCCTGAGCCTGCACTTGCGAAGTCGATGGCTTTCGGACCGAATGAGCTAGGAAGCATAGTAGAATGCGGCCCTAGAACCGTAAGGTGAACCGTAGGCCTCATTCCATTACAGTATCAATGGGAGTGCTCATTGAATATTTACTTCGGCAAGACACTAATGGTACATTCAGAAACAGTCCATACTTTTTTTCAATGAGTAACCCATTTCCAACGGGCAAATGTACCTGAACTCCACAAAAAAATAAAGAAATGTTCCTTCTCTACTAGAGTGAACAATTCCTGGTTATTAAAATGTATGATGACTTTGGAGGCATACCGAAAAATAATGTTACATTCAACCTCCTCATTCACGGTATGTATACTGTTTTTTCCCCCTTGGTCAAACCAGATTAAAATGTGTACAAACAACACTTCTGTCATGTATTTGACAGTAAGAGCTGTGTGTATTACCATCAAAGGGTAACTTGAATCAAGCTCAGATTTCTTTCTTTGATTTTTTTCCTTTTACTTTTGGAGGTCTACCTATACAGACACAAGAAATGATAAGACTGTTTATGTTTGGTAACCTCATTGGAATTTATTAATTTTTAGACTTATTACTGTCTCCTGGGACACAGTTAAGGAACGCAAGAAAAATTAAACTAGTTGTACATCAAGCACAAACACAAAAAAAAGAGAGAGAAAAAAAAAAAACAAATAAGTTCATATTTGATATGAACACTTTAATAAATTATTGAGAGTTTATACAAGTGATTCTCAATATCACTTCCACGAACAGTGGCAAAGTCAAACTTTGACAAGGACAAAGGTTTAGATGGCTATACATTTTTAGGTTGGAGCACTGATTGCACACAATCTTAGCATCGACACTTGTGCTAAATTTAAAAACAGTGTTGGCCGGGCAAGTGATATATGTACTACTTAATAATAATACTCAAATCATTGTAGTCTACTTAGAGGCTTGTTCAATATAAGCAATCAGATCCGCTCGTTCCTGAGGTTTCTTGATTCCAGCGAATACCATCTTTGTGCCGGGGATGTATTTCTTAGGATTTTCTAGATATTCAAAAAGAGTGTCTTTGTTCCACGTGATACCTGGGATACAAAAATAGACCAAAGGCATTAATTTACAAGATTACGCCACAAAGTAACAAACAAAGCTTGAAAGGAAGAGAAAACTTCTACTGATAAGTTCACTTCCTACCAGACCCTTGGTGGGGACTAGTTTTCTGTAAGTTAGGAAATCTAATATTTTAGGGAGTGGTCTTAATAGTTTTTAAACTTTTGCACAAATTGATGCGAAGTACAGATCCCTATACACAGCATTCCCCCAGAGATTTCAAGCTACAGAATGAATAAGATTTTCAAAGAGAGCATTTAAAACTTGGAAACTTTAAGTATCATTAACAATTAGGAAGTTTTTTGTAATAACTACTTACATAGAACAAACATTTTGAGAGAATAGCTGTAGCTCACAGAGTTTTCAATATTTGCTTGGTTTATGTCTTTTACTGAAATTCTTACATTTAGCCTTTCATTAAAGTTTAACATGTACTCAGAGCACCTATCGAGTTTAGCCACAGCGTTAACTTATGAAAACAAGTGACAGAATCAGGCCCTCATCAGTGACTTATTATGACGTCTGTTGAAACATCATGGAGTAACTATATCCAATTACATGAGACTGTCACAAATTTCCATGAAGTGACCAGTGTTCTACTTTCCCTTGAACACTGTGTCCAAAAGTTGGCATTTGACACCTAAAAATTGGGTTCCCCCACCAAGGTGGTTCCTAGAATTTTAGGAGGAAGGCAGGACACTGAATTTTTTTCTTCTTCTTTCTTTTCTGATATAATATTGTGATCTTCTGCAGTTTCCAGAATGTTACACATTGTAAATAAATTGAAATAGGTAGAATAGATGTTGTGAACAACCGAGTAGTTCATATTTTACATGTCTAATTTGCTATGCTGAAATTGACTGAATTGTGCTTTTGAAAAGTATTCAATTTGACATTAGTATGCCTAAGACTTTAGAGTATAGTCATTCAGTAGTGAATTTACAAAAGAAAGGACTCAGCAAACCTTTCAAGGGGATATGCACCATGATCGATTTTCAATTTTTATTGCATTAGACTCGTCTATGGATGCTGAGCCATCATTTTCACCTGTCATCACCAACTTTCTAAGAGCTACGGAAAATACATGGAATTTAAAAACTAAAAAAAAATAAAAAAAAAAAATAAAGAAGGAGAAAGCCTAGTTAACTAATAAAAGACTATATTTAAACAGGTTATTTTCCCCTTACCTTTGGAAATGTTAGCGTCTGTGTAAGAAAATCCAGGGGCTTGACCTGTTTTTCTGCCAATAATACCATGCAGATTGGGACCAACTTTGTGTTTGCCACCAGCTTCTATCGTGTGGCATTGAGAGCATTTTGTGACGAAAACCTACATCATAAAACACAGGAATGATTTGCGACATTCTGTTGGAAATTCTTGAAAAATTTATTAAATCCACAAAAATAATTCTGCAGCAAAATGCTACTTATACTTGAAGTTTCACTGACCCAATTTCTTTTGTTATTGCACCAAATTGAAGCTTTTGAGCAACCGTTGGTGCAAAAAAGTGCCATTTGGCTGGACATTTCATGTGACCCAGAATTTTTTCCTCACTCATTCAGAAATTTTTTTTGACTTTCCCACATATTTCGAGAAGGTAACCTTTTTTTCCTTTCCCTCAGCACTTTAGGTAGGAAAGGATCCCACACACTCCTTATGGGGATGCGTACCACGATTGATTTTTAATTTTATTATTGTTTTAAATTCGTCGATGGATCCTGACCAAAAGTCATCATTGCGTCAACTTTCTACAAGTCACTGTTTTTGCACAGTACGCTATTGAAGTTTCAGTAATTTCCAGGACAGACTGGCTACAATCAAAACGCAGTGCTTGGTACTGCCTTACTGTCTGGTAAAGATAATTAAGTGGAAGAGACAGAAAGAAACTGATTTGGACGGAGAAAAGAAAAGGCGTGTGGAATCCGAGATAAAGACTGTCGCTTCAATGCTGATCAGTTTTCCTCTTAACGTAATTTTTTCGAACCCAACCGACCCAAACTATACTAGATGTGCTGAAATGAGGGATCTCTTTCCCCGGATTGTGCAAAAATCGTGCCTCGTGGAAAGTTGACACAATGATGACTTTTGATCAGCATCCATAGACGAATTTATAACAATAAAAAAATTTAAAATCGATCGTGGTGTACATCTCCTTAAGGAGTGCAAGGGGTCCTTCGCTTCAAATGTCTCCTGAAAAGTCGAAAGATCGAGAAATCGTCAGAATTTTCCTCCGAATTTTTTTTTTTATGTTGTTTAGGACTTAAATTTTCTCCCAGATCTCATGATCCAACCCCATTATGATGGATTAATATCGCCTATTAACCACCGGAGAAATAAGCCAAGGGTGCTCACAGCCAACTTGGCGATTTCATAGCAGATTCGATTTTCCTGGGAAACGTACGATTACCACGGCCCTGAGATTGCCAGATTGGGGAATCTCTGCATACCTGACATAAGCTCTAAGATCAGAAGGCTTGGCAGCAGCCTGTCTTCAAATCATAGAACCCAAAATATCTTTTTTGTGTAGGTAAAAACAGTAATTTCAGTAAATTAGTCATTAATGATAGAGCAAACATAGAAAACGAAGTCAAATTTCTTAGCATCTAAGTACAGCCAATAATCTCAGATATGAAAAGACTTGGAAGTCAAGTCAAGTCATACCTGGCTTTTCTTTTACTTATCTTGAAATTTATAGTGGATCATACATTCACTGATTAACAATGAAATCTCAAGAGAACAGTTGAAATGAAAGAAATAACATGTTGGTTCGGTTGTGAAAAAATTGAATTGGTGAATGAATTTATAAAAAATTAAGGAGTTTTACCTTCTTTCCCTTCTCTGCATCTCCAGCTGGTACACCCATTCTGATTTACTGGTTGATAACTGAAAAAGAATAGAAAATTTAAAAAGGAATATTAGTGGGCAATTTAAAGTAAAAGACTTGTCATTATTGAAGTTTCATAGAAGTGGATTGGCTGAATTATTATATTTTGATGAGCGACTGAAACTGACAAAAATTTATTTGACAGCCAACTTTTGCGGAACTTGATTAAAACTTTTGTGGCCAATGTAAAATTTGTATCTATATCAGGTACCCGTGTAACCTTTCAATTCCCCTATGTTTAGGTTTTTCCTATATGCCCTCTCCGCACTACCTCGGCCGCACTGAGTTTTGGTAAAATTAGATCATGAACCATCTTGGAGCCCCTTTCGCAGAGAAGGGATAAGTATCGGCGACCTGAAATTTAGGCATGTAATTGTCTCAGTGCAGATCCACACTGCTCCTCCTTTCAGCATAGAATTGGTGATCATTTCATTTCTGGGCCAAAATGTTTCTGTTGAAATTTACTGGTTAAAAAATTGTGTTTCACGGTGTCCAAAGTCAATAGAAAGAGCCAAAACTTATAATTCAATGTGGCCCTGTGGCAGGATTTATTAATGAGATATTTCTATTACCGCTCACAGCACTTCCCCCTGCATCAGCACCACATGGCAGCACTGCCACGAAGCAAGGGACTTAAAGATTTATTGATAACATTCGATCTTATGGGTATTTTTAACCAAAATAAAAAAAGTCTTCACATGAGCAATAATTTCTAAGTTGGTAGAGTACAACCTTCCATTTATTTGGCAAAGAATGACTCCACCTTTAGATAGACCAGTCTTACTTCTTCTAGAAAAGGACTAAGAGAGTGAGAGTTTCATAGAGTCCTTGCGCTAGAAATGTAGAGCCTACGCAAAATAGGTCTGCACACCGTTAAAGTATGATAGACGATCAGCTGTCTTTAGATTGACTTGCAGTACAAATTCAGTTCCGTTTTTGAGCAACAATCACAATAGTTTCAAGATGGTCCTGGGCAATCCGATTTTGATGAAGTGTTACTTAATATTAATTAATGGGACTTATCGAACTGGGTTCACTATTTTGCAATGCTGTCACAGCAACTGAATGCAAAACAATCAGACGATGCTCTGCGCTGATTCCAGAAATTTATACAGGGTTTCCGATCTCACTTTGCTCACTTGCTCTCTTGTTACTGATTCTTGATATTAAAAAGGAACACAAAAGGGTCAATCTAGGGGTTATTGACGAAGAATAATTTTTCAGGAACACGTTTCCACTGTTATTTTAAATAAAATACAACTATAGTAAGGAAATATTAAATGATATTCCATATTGCACTATAACGGAGCGTGAACTTATTTCGCTTGAACTTCGTCTACCGTTACAGAGGATGCTAAAATGTGTTGATTGAGCTTCTTCCTTAGCATAAAACAACATTAAGTGAATGAACATTTGAGTACTTTGTTCATCACTTATCCCTCAATGTCAAATGCTGAAATGGATTACTGGGGGCGCGCAACTCAAATGGATGAGAGCTCAGGGGGGTTTTCTCCAGGGTGAAATGACAAAGGGTTTCACTTAATTCAGGGCAACACTTTAGTCAAACACTCACAATACAGAGACAAAACTTCCATAAGCAAACTCGACTCTACCTGGTACTGAGACACCCTAAAACAGCCGATCAGACTTTTCCTAGCACTGGGTCCACACCCAGTAGCCGACACGACTCTCGCTCAATTGTCCAGTACAAATTGCCCAATTTTGACTCAGCGATGCGCATCTTGCAAGAACATCGCCAAAAATTCCAAACAAATGGCCTTCGCTCACATTTCCTGCCTCTATCACCATCCAAAACTCAAGTCGACCTCAGCGGCCCGAAACCCCGATTCTGTTGGGTTTGTGCCTGGACCTTTCGTCCCAGGCACCACATTAATAGTCCTACTTACATTGTTACCAGAAATCAGGTCATGCTCAAATGGTGAAAAAGCTAGGGAAAAGAAATGGAGAGTACTTTAATTGGGGAGTGCATGGTGATAATTGTTATCGGTCAAACCTTTTCTAAAAGGTGGAAGATATCACCACCAACCCAGAATGTTCAGAAATAGTGGTACAAAGGATGATGCAATAAAGGTCATGGACACAAAAATTGCGTTTAGAAATAGGAAGTTTAGGGAACTATACTTGCAAGGCTTGAAAACCAGACTCGGGTTTCGGGCTTACACAATTGGCAAATGCTGAATGAGACAATTGGGGATAAAAAAGGTGTGGATGATGCAAGAAGAGTCTGCGAAGAATGGAGCACCCTTGACCTTGGCGCATGATAATCATGGGCCAGGGCTCGATGTAGGGTTCAGATTTGGATGAAACAAAATTATCCAAAAATAATTACCATGAAACTAAGGAAAGATGGTATGATTATTTCAAGAAAATCTAAAAAGGTCAAAGGGGCATGGTAAAGTCGAACGTCAGAACTGGGTTAAAAGGCATTGCTAGGTTACCGAGAGATTTCGAGAAATTTGGGAATAGCTAAGTAGGTCCAAAAATCGCATTATACACTTTAAACTCTTGGAAAATAAACCTCATGCAGTAGTCAAAGTATAAATTGGTGTGCTACATACCGAAGAACACAACGAAAAATAGGTTGAACCTAAATTGGACACTTGCCACTCTCGGAAGCCGAACCATAGAATAATAGCAGGGACCACGGGACCAGTTCTATAGGACCCTGGACTCCCGTAAGAGTCAATGTAAAAATTCGTGAGCAGGTACTAGTGCTGTTATCTCGCGTAGGATCCTCGCAACTCACTGCTGTTATCAGTTGTTGGACTTCATTAAAATCCGTAGGATCGCGTATAACTGCAAAAAATCGAATTTTTCATCGTACCATGCCAGGCGGGGATCCTTTCAAGACGAAAGGGGTCGAAAAACGCCAAAAATATACTTATTTTTCAAGAATTCAGCCGCCTTATGTGTTATTTTTCAATCTCCGGCTTAACCTCACTTTTGGAGCGGGCGATGGATGAGTCGAGGTTCGGGGGGAAGGATCCTCTGAGTTGACTAGGATCCTACGCGAGAATGCGCTGCAATCACCCGCTCACAAAACGGCGTCCTATAGAACTCGTCCCTGATAATAGCTACCAGAAACTGGCAAATCCTCCCGTAAGAGCCGTAAGATCGCGTATAGTCTTTTTTTCGGAGCGGACTTCGGCCGAATTCCCCGCGAAATTTGAAACGGCAGAGAGACGCAGGGTGAGAGTATGTAGAGTCCCTTTATACTAGCTATGTTTATGCGAGCCTCTTAAGCGTCCAGCCCACATACAAACTAGAGGCTTCAAAGAGACTCATCGATTGCCCCGACTTAAACCGCTGGCCAATGAGAGGGCCAGGAAAGGCATCGATGAGTCTCTTTGAAGCCTCTAGTTTGTATGTGGACTGGACGCTTTAAGGTGAATCTCTAGCGATTTAGGGACAGAAACCGCCACCACGTCGCGCTGCTACGTGAGCGAGTCTTTGAGAGTGAATAATTAACTAAGACTTGAAATTCATGCAAAAAATCGACCGAATACGCGTAGCAGCATACATTCTGAGTAGAATGATACCAAATGTGTGGGTATTATTTGCAAAAATATACCCGAATTCATGCAGACCGATTTCTTTAGGGGCGACTCAATGTGTAAGAGAGAGATAGCATGCTGTGACGTTTGTTTACATCTGGTCGCTTCCCTCCTCCCCCCCCCTTGAGGAAAGTAAGGAAATTCGGCCGGCGATGGATGAAATTCCTTTCCTAGCCTCGGAGACCTGAGACATGGACCAAATAACTTTTATTTGGTCCATGGTGAAACTTTCAAGGTCAGAAATCTGGAACCTCAACAGTTGTTTACCTTCGATGTTTTGAATTGATAAACGCTGGTTACACGTGAAGCGGGAGTGTATTTCGGGTGTTTTATTTCGGAGCGGTTATTATTTAGAAATATTTGTACACATTTCAGTATCAATTTTATATTTTCGTTTGTAGCATATCGCTACAGCAGGAAAATAAAATTTTATCGAATATATTTTCTTTTTATCCATATCTGAGTAATGTTATTGTTTTTTGTTTTATACCTTAGAGTCCCTTTATACCCAGAGTAACGACAACTCGATTATCAGCTGACTGGCAGCCGACCTTGGCTGGCCATGGAGGCCGAAACTAGTGCACTCAAACGAACGATATTGGGGGATAAGGATCAGGAATCCTGCGATGTCTGTCACACAGAAACAACAACATCAACAAATTGATCAATTAAAAAGAAAATGAGATTGGTTTGTGAATAATTTCTTAATCTATTTTCATTTTGGATCGATGGCAATAACAATTTACTCTTGATAAACCACAATTAGGTAATATTTTCATTATTCTTGTTCACATACGAGGTACCGCCATCTTGGTGCACTAGTTTCGGCCTCCATGAGCGAGAACCAATCAGAATTGGATTTTTTTTTAGGCCACTTTCAGCCCAATCCTGGCCCAACCAAAAGTGAGTTGTCGTAACTCTGGGTATAAAGGGACTCTATTATACCTGGTCGACATAATGCAAAATATTCACCTCCCGTTCATAATTATCAGTTCAATTATCTCAATTGACATCGTTTAACCTAGAAAAATTGATATTGTTCAAGTTAAAAGTTCCAGGAACACATGCGTGCGCGTCGAGACAGGGAATTTCGGTTGGTGCAACGAACTCGTAACAGTTGCACCTGATTCCCTCAACAGTTGCGCCGTCGAGACAAGGCCTAACTTCAATCGAAACCTGAGTTTGAAACCAAGGTTCAAATCACGGCATAAACGATACGGAACTAACGAAATGTAGGTTTCCGAAATTTGTGTTTGAAACCTTATTTTACATTAGTATTAACAAACGATATTGAGGGATAAGGATCAGGAATCCTGCGATGTCTGTCACACAAAAACAACAACATCAACAAACTGATCAATTAAAAATAAAATGAGATTGGTTTGTGAATAATTTCTTAATCTATTTTCATTTTGGACCGATGGAAATAACAATTTACTCTTGATAAACCACAATTAGGTAATATTTTCATTATTCTTGTTCACATACGAGGTACCGCCATCTTGGTGCACTCGTTTCGGCCTCCATGAGCGAGAACCAATCAGAATTGGATTTTTTTTTAGGCCACTTTCAGCCCAACCCTGGCCCAACCAAAAGTGAGTTGTCGTAACTCTGGATATAAAGGGACTCTAGTAGAAAGTCAGAAACACCTATAAAGAAATCTCATGCTTACTTTTTGGTTTGGCAACATCGTAAAATTCGAGACAGCCTTACATCTCGAAACATCGACCGATCAATTTGGGCACATTGCCAAAGTTTCGATCTCTCGCTCGACCATGTTGGATTTTTGGAGGTAATGCCGTTGTATAGGTAATGTCCTGCCCCCGATTTGGAGCGCCGCGCCGGAAAAAATAGTTTTGACACAAACGGCGAGCAGGAATCGATACATCGAAAATTCCGCGCGCGGAACAGATTTGAAGCGGCGCGCCGACAAAAATAGTTTTGACACAAACGGCGCAAATATATCGAAAATCGGCGCGGAATCCGGAAATTCAGAGATTTTCATCGAAAACGGGTTTTTTCTTTCCGCGCGCCGAAAAAAAATTCCGCGCGCAAGAAAAGGGTTTTGACACTAACGGCGTTCCATACCTAAGGGCTCCATTTAGCCTAAGATGGCTTAGCCAAGCCAGTGGCTATACTCTCTCAATATAGGTACTCTAAATTTTTGTTCTGTCATCTCTATCTGTTGTTGTGTTTTGTCAATTCGAGTCTGGTGTATTCGCAATTGCTGTGTGTTAGTGTTTCGTGTTTTCTTATTTTCTTCTTAATTTCATTTAGGAAAAAAATTTGTGCTCTAATTGGCTCCTGACATCACCGATCATCGGCATCACTCAGCACTGATCAATTCCTTTGATGAATGACATTCGATCGCGAAAATTCAAAGAGTACAATAGAGTCGCAAAGTACTGGCCAGAGACAAGAGACCCTCCACTAGTATCTTGGCCATGGTGGAAGCTTTTACTTTCGGGACTTCAGCATTCTACTGTTGACTTACCTACATGGTTGATGTTCAACAACGTGTTGGCAGTTTCGTTTTGCAAACAAGCCGAAAATGGCCGACGTTTGGGGAAGTTGTTTGGCTCATGACGTCATCCGAAGCTCATCATCGACCATGTAGGTAAGTCAACAGCCGAAACTAGCGTGATGACTGTTGCTCCCTAATAAGTGTCCATAAGGAATTGTTGAAACCCCGAAAGTAAAAGCTTCCACCTGTCGCTAGGAGGCCAGTGGAGGGTCTCTTGTCTCTGGTACTGGCGTTGAAGAAGTCACTTTTGGAGGCTGTTTTGTCCAGCTCTCTGGAGACTAGTGTGCGGCGACTAGGGACGACGCACACGCAGAGACTCGCGCTCAGCGCTCCCCCCTCCCGACTCGGATCCGTTCGTCGGCTAGGTCCACACACATTGAACCAGCTATGTAGGCCGGTAAAAAGTCTGAAATTGAGTCCATAAATGAATATTATCCAGGAGTAACATACATTAATGGATTCATTATGGCTTTGAATATCTATCTATAGCAAAATTTGCAAAAATTAATATAGATGGAATTAATAAAAGTCGAAAAAACACAAGCAGTTGTTGATTTCTCCATAAGCTACCGTGTTAGAAATGCCGGTTTGGTTCACACTTTGTATAAGTCAGAAATTAAATCCCTGTATGAATAAAATCCAGGAGTAACATACATGGATGGATTCATTATGGCTTTGACCATCTATTTATAGCAAAATTTGCACAAATTAATATCGATTGACTTAAAAAATGTCGAAAAAACACAAAGCAGTCGTTGCTTTTCCCGTAAGCCGCCGTGATAAGAAATGCTGGTCGGTTCACACTTGGTTTAAGTCTCAATTTACTTCCCTTTTGGAATATTATTCAAGAGTATGGTACATTAATGGATTCACTACGGCTTTAACTACCTGTTTACAGCAAAATTTGCAAAAATTAATGACGATTGAATTATAAATGTCGAAAAAACACAAGCAGTTCTTGATTTCTCCATAAGCCACAATGATGATAAGTGCCGTCGGGTTCACACTTGGTTCACACTTTTCGGAGCACAAGCGGCTCGGAAAGGCCCGTTAATGGATTGACTTTGTGGCGGCCAATCACCGCTTACCTCTGGCGACGCAGCCCATGCTCGCCCCTGATTGGCCGACGCAGTCTCCACAACGGGTATATACGTCGTGACCACAGCGACTCTGGTCACTCCGCCTCGTGCGTGCTGGGAGAATGAGCATGAGGATTTTTGAAAATGACGAACGAACAGTT